GTCTTGAACTACCTTCTTTTTAACTTCTAATTCTCGAGAGAGACGGAGCAGTCGCTGCTCGCGATCTTGTTCAATTGTTAGATTACGTCGGTTGGTCGCAGAACTTCGAGTAAATGTTGGTAATAGACCATAATTTTTACAATATTCTTTAAATTCTACCGAATGTTTGGCGTTAATAACGGCTATTAACAACATATATATATATATATATATATATATATATATATATATATCTCATAACCTTAATGCGAACATTTTTTACCTTCAATCAATCAATCAATCAATCAATCAATCAATCAATCAATCAATCAATCAATCAATCAATCAATCAATCAATCAATCAATCAATTAATCAATCAATCAATTAGCTTATAAAGCGCTATTTCCGCGATGTTCAACAGCGCTCCTCAATGAATTTTGAAAACAGATGGGTCTTGAGATCCGCTCTGAAATTCGCAAGTGATGGAGAAGTAGTCAGAGAAGTAAATAGAGAGTTCCAGAGAAAAGGACCAGAAATAGCAAAAGCAGATTTGGCAAAAGAGTGTTTAACACGAGTTAAGAAAAAGCGAGAAGACGATCGTAAACCGGGGCGTTTAGGTTCAAATAATATATCTGATAAATACTTAGGAAATAATTTAGATTGAGACTTATACATGAACGTGCAAATTTTAAAAATTATTCTATATTTTATAGGTAGCTACCTTGTCTTTTAATTAAAAATAACATTTTTGCATTATTTTCAGTAATGCACTCTCTTGTTTCATTTTGATTTCTGAAGAATATAACATACACCAGGGGTGGGCAAACTTTCCGCCGTGAGGGTCGCATATATAAATATAACATTCGATCGTTACGTACAACGCCTCGCGGGCCACATGTAACGGCTTGCCGGGCCATAGTTTGCCCACCTTAGACAATATACAATACACAACGTGTATTTAAAATATACAACATATATATACAATATACAACACGTATATACAATATACAACATGTATACAAACTACACAACATGTATATTCAATATACAACATGTATATACAATATAAACAACACCTGAGCGTGTATCCAGTGATATTTTCAGCAACGGAGATGACGTAGAGAAACTTGTTAGAGAGGTCGCAGGAGGAGCAAAGGGAGGAGGCACGCTCCGATGCAACGAGGTCCTCGCCTGGGGGCAGCGGTGCATTCTTTTGTATCAGAACGATGCCTATCTTGGTTGCTCTCCCGGCCAAATAATTTCTTCAAGGATGACATTTTTTTTAGTCTTTATTACGCAGAACGACTTACAAGGTTACATTAGTACAGATGATTAGGAAAATTTTTAAAAATAAACTAAACTGAGTCGAATGCATTTTACAAATACTAGATAGTTGATACCGAAAAATATTTAAAATTTTAGCCATCAAAAATTATTTTTTTATAGTTAAAATAAAATCCACACTTTTTCGGTTGCATTGTCTACTAATATAATATAGCATTTTCTGGCATTCATTGCTGATGAACATTTTAATATATTGTTAAACCATCACTGATATAATTTGATAAAGATTGTTCATAAAATAAAAACAACAAGATGAAGCTTCTTGACGAGATTGAGATTATTAAACGAAAACAACAACAGCAATGTGATGGTACTGTACTTGATGAATTTGAACTTTTCAAGACATTCCGCCTGTTTATCTTTCCACTGCACGTCATCCCAGTCGTAGTCAATGAAGAGGACCACTAAGGAAGGAATAATTTCAAGATGTTTCTTCATCCACGTGCACTTCAGAATACCTTTTGGAATGTACCAGTCGTACGTAGGCCTCTGTTACGTTTGTAGTAAAATTCACTTTTTTCTACCAGCAATGTTTACTAAATATCGAGGAGGTACAACATTATATCTCATTAATATCAAGGACAAAGAGTGCTATGTTTCAAAAGTCAAAACTAGTGATTATGCATTAGATTCTTGCAGTAAAATTATATTAAAGGTTAAAATCTGCACAAGTATCACCATTATTGTCATCACCACAACTTATATCTTATAGACCAGCTCATTAAACAATGGAGCTTCTGCTTCTCCCTGCTTGGCTTAATAAAATAAGTTTGAAGTATAATAATATCGTCAGGATAGATTTCCATCGCACACACACTGCATGTGACTTATGTGATTTTTTGCACATTTGAACAAAGCCAACACAGGCATTTCAACTATTATACTACATGACTGCCATAACAAAAAAGGAGCATATGAATATGAACAAGAACACTATCTCTAACAGTTGATGTTAACAACAACCATATAAGAAGCCCATTCCTAATAACTTTATTTATAAGAAAGTTAGTCATGAGTGTTAAACTGCATATATTTTATCAAAATTTTTTTACAATTTAAATTTCACAAAAGTCCAAAAGTCTTTGTTAACAAATATAAGTCACATTACATTACCATTACATCAAATATATATAACACCACACAAGAAAACAACATAACAACAGAACATATTCCAAATTTTTTATGTATGTTTTATTTATAACCCTATATTCAATTCATTCATTATAATTATAGATTTCGTTTTAGATTGAATGTAACAAATTCATTATTAAATTAGTTAATTAGTAGACAATTTTTTTTTGAAATTTTATATTACATTATTTAGTTTTTAAATATTATTAAGTATTTTTGAGTTGTTTAAAATTTAGAATTCTAGCAAGATACCTTCTGTCTACTTTTAGGGAGTTCCTGATTGATATCATGCAGTTTGTAATGCAGGAAGAACTTATCAACTTTATTATGATTTTTCGTGAAAGACTCCCAAACGGAATTATGGAGTGGGTTAGAGGGAACGTCAAGGCCAGTGAAAAGTATCAAACCAGTCGGACGCCTGAATAATTCGTTGGGAAATTCGCTAGCCCAAGACATCTTTTTCACTCCTTATTTTTATTTTACACCTAACTTACAAAAACAACAAGTTAATCTGAAATTTCAATTAAATTTGTAAATTCGAAGTAAATAAAATAATTATTATTAAAATTTTAAAGAATGCCTTTTTCAGTATTAAAAAAAATTAAATCTTGATCCTTGTTTGAGCTTGCTGACAAGTTATTTCACTTTTTATATTTGTTATTTAATTTTAATTCAATTTTATTGTGGAGCTGTTGTTTCTTCTTTAATTTAAATTAATTAAACTCATTAGAAAAAAGGTTTTTTAATATGATTAATTAAATTGGAACATCACTAACAACATTTATCAATGGGCAGACCTGCAGAAAAGTTGTTTACGTTTATGTTAAGTCTACTTTTCATTGTTTAGTGAAGGTACGTTTTTTTATATATCTGAAAAAATTTGAGTCTGCGTTATCAGAATTGAGAGCTGTTGATTGTTGAATAATAATTAAAAAATGATTTATTTGGTAATATATCAATGATTTATTAAATAATATACTAATGATTAATAGAGTCATTTTAAATATGTTAAACTAATAAAAAAAAACAAAAGTTTGATTGAAATGAGTATTTTTGCTTATAAAGATACTAAATAATTTAGCGTTATTTGTAATCTTTGTAAATGGGTCATCTGTGACCTTACGGTTGGTTTAAAAAATAGAGACGATACACTATACATACAGCCATAACAGTTGATTCTGCTTATTGAAGAGTGGTTTGGCAGGTAAAACCTTTATATATTTTGTTATATTTATCAGTAAGTTTAATTAATTATTAAATAGTATTTGCTAGATTCACTTATTTACATTACAATTTTCTCTTTTATTAGTATTCGTATTTTTAAAAAGTTTCAGCCACAAACACACATTTTATGCACCTAACTAAAGACACGTGAATCAACGCATCACGCACATTGCATCTACTAATAGGTTGGAATCTCTTTACATTAAAACCTAGTCGCCGTAACAGCATGGCCAGGAAACTTAACCATTACAACATTAATTTATTATGGTAGATTGGAATCTCATTGAATTCAATTCCGCTGAGTGAACATAAGAAAAGGCGCCGATAACGATTAAACCATCCTCCAACCCTATCAATGAAAAATTTGAAAAATGTCCCTCAAATAATGTGAAAACCGAATAACTAAATATGGTTTAAAATAAAATAAAAGGCGGTTAAACGACTAAGAGATTAGCACGTAGGACCGGCACAAACTGCTGCCAAAGCATATATGTCACCTTTGTAATATAATCTTCAAAGTAATAAAGTGAAGTTCAGTTCAATTCTTCTGACACATTTAACTTTTTTATTGGTGCTATTTATCAAACTTTTGTTAAAACTAATCTATGACTGAAATCTGGATCGTATTAAATTTAAAAAATCGTGGGGAATCGTGACTGAAATCTGGATCGTATTAAATTTAAAAAATCGTGGGGATCGAGACATTAACTTTTAAAAACTATGCATTCGTTTATGTCGTTAATTCATGCATTCAGGTAGCAAATATATTTCTATTAATATCATACTTTATTTTAAAATTTATAAAGTAATAAGCCTTAAAAATAACCTTGAAAAATGTTGTCCTTAAATAGTAATCTCGCCTTGACAGCACTGAAGGATTTATTTATATCTGTCTACCTTTGAATGAAGAAATAAAACCGAATGAATTTAAAGTTTTTGATACAAGGTCGGTGCATTTAGATTTCCATTTTCAGCCATTATGATTTCCATTCCATCGTATCCTGTTCAGTTCATGGCTCTAGCACTAGATAAAGATATATATCGTTCAAAGTTCATTTAATTAGAAAAAGTACACATAAATTTGTACTAATAAAGTGTGAACAGTACAACCAAACTATTAATTTAGCCTGTTGATTTTTAATTATTTTGCCAATCGCTGTACGGTTGTGGTTATTTTTGTTCTTTTTCACGATGCTTTCATTTTTAACGCTCGCTTCATATACGTATACATCGTAGAAAAACAACGCACCTTATAGGATATGCGAAAATGTAGCAGAGACGTGTAGCGGTCGTGTTTTTAAACGCCAAGCCAAGCCTGGTTTTAAGCTACCACATAACAGAATAATGACTTAATCCGTCAAACATTTAGTCTGCTGTTTTGTGAACAACGCTAATGGAAACAGGAAGCCAATGCAGCATGGCAAGGAAACTGAAGGAGTTAGAAAGAGGAGGCTGGTCGATAACGAGTCAGACAACTTTCTAGTTTTTTAGTAAATGAGCGAGAAACGTTTCGCAGGAGAGAATCGCCGGGGTGAAATTTTGATAGAATTAGACAATTACCAAGAGTGCTGGTAGCATTAACGTTTTTCATTATTTCAACTGATTAATATTGAGGTTAATAGTTGTTAGTTTGGTTAAATAAATCTGTCACTTTGAAGTCATCCAGTTAGCTTACGTTTTAGATTAGAAAATAATTCTAAATGGGTGGTCAAAAATGAGAGCCATTTTTTAATGGCATCATTTTATTCAAAAGATTTTCTGTATATTTGATAGACAACGGGCTTTGCTTTTTTGTATTAAAGATTTATTTGTGAAGCGCTCAGTGTAATTTTTTTATACTGTGGCATATCCTCTTTGATAGAACAACAAAAAATAATTTTTAAAGCTAATTAAATTTATTACTTTCTTAAATCATTTAAAACAAAGTTGCATAACAATTGCTAAACATTTTTTCCGTAGAAATTTTGAATTGGTGCAAGTTGTGCCCTGCTAAGTACTCTGATACATGTACTGATAAGGTAGTGTTTACTGACATGTGTATATATCTAACTTTCATTTTTTACAGTTTTTGAGCGGTTGATCTACTTTAGATGGAATGTAACAGAAAGGGGAAAATTTATAATGAAGATTTTCTCGTGGTCCGATTAATAATTTTGCGGGTTTTGCCAATATTGAATTTAGTTTAGGAATCGTCTGAATTTACACTTCCATGAGTTTTCTTCAATTTAAACAATTAACAAAGAAATACCGCCAACAACAATATTATTTGCATTATAAAAATTGTCCTTAGAAAAATAAATTTATATTATTGATTTTCTTTTTCTATTTACGTTCGAAAACGTATTATTCAATGAACACGTTTAGCAAATAGTTTCATTTATTTTCAATCAGCTCGAAACAATGTATATACATATATACATATATGTCTGCATTTGAAGCAACCACACACTACAATGAAAGAAACTAAATAGGTCTAGCTGAACTTTCGTCTTTTTAATCTCCTTGACAATTATCTTTGAACAAAAATTTTGAATTAATTTATAATTTTTTACATTTTTATTTTTAAAAAGTTTAATTCGGTAACTATTGGGTTACCATAAACAAAATTATAAACACTTTTCTTAATATTTAGTATTGATATATTATGTTATTATTAATTCCGTCTTAACCAATTCTTGGAAGAATCGACGACATACAGCGCGCATGGTTGAATTAAAAAACCTGTTAATAGCTAATGGGTTGTTTGACTCTGTTCGATGTAGGATAAGAAGTTGAATAACTACTAAGGTACAAATGGTAGGAGAAAGTGGAGTGAGAAGAATCAAGTTCAGTTAATAGTGCGTTGAATGGGTGCTTGTTTGCACATTAATAATAAAGTTTTGGAGTGAAGTTTTGTCGAAGGAATCAGGTTAAATGATATTCATCAACTAGTGTATATTTGAGGCAATTAGTTTTCATTTAACAATTTATCTATATGAAAATTAAAACTACACGCACATGCGCGCACGCACACACACAAACAGACAAACACACAATTATTTTATGTATTTATTTATTTAATTATTTACATACCTTATTTTTAATAAAGTTTATTAACACTCTATTTTTATATTCACATCAAATGATCTTCATTATATTGGACCCCCGAGCAACTACTCACAGAACGCAGCACAGCATAATGTTTCACATGACAGAGATGCAACAGCCAAATTACCAATTTATGTGTCTAACTTTTCTGTCTGAGTGCACTGTGAATTATTTCTTTTACATAATTATAAATACATAATAATAACAATAATTAACTGTTTCTCAAGTCTGCATCCAAATCATCCTATCTATCTAAATATAACATGTTCACGAGTTATGAACTACTTACACTTTTAATCTTTACCAGACGACCTATTAGAGACATTAAATTTTTTATTCGCCAATAATTTGTACGATAAAAGGCACAAATATTGAAATTTCGCAATTTAAAAAAAACTCTAAAATGTGTTGTCCAAACAAAACCTAAATGTAAGACACGTTCTCAAATTCATAAAAGAACTTACAATTAAAAATTAACAAAAAGATAAACACCGTTCATGTTGGATGAAAGCGGCTTCTAATTTGTTGGGTCGCATTAAGAAGAATTTAGAAACGTGGAAAATCCGAAAGAGAGAGGATAGACACGGAGATGGTACCGTGGTTATTGCATCTCAACGTAGTTTTCATCATTTAAAAGCCGTTGCACTCGTTCTATTTAGAAAGTCGAATTTTTAACCGGATACCCACGTTAACTGATTAAGTGCACAGCTAGTATATAAATGTGCGTATATATATATATATATATATATATATATAAATACTATATATATAGTATATATATATATTTATGTTGTGTATGTGTGTGTGTGTGTCTGTCTATATGCTACACATAGACAGTTTTTTTTCTGTCTTTTTGTATACTTCCTATCATGGCTATTAAATTCATTTTATGTTATTGACTATATAACACACGCACACACACACACACACACACACATATATATATATATATATATATATGTGTGTGTGTGTGTGTGTGTGTGCGTGTGAACTACAAACATGTATTTAAAACAAATGCAATCTATTTAACACGTATTACAGCTGTTACTTTGCGCGTGCAGTAATGATATGTAGATGGATGGATGGAAAGATGGATATACAGATGGGGAAGGATGGATGGATAGACGGATAACGAATGAAGCGTTGATCGTATTGTATATCAACAAAACATAAAACAAAGTCTGTTTTATTAATATCATTTTTATTTTTGCGTTCATCGTTCAGGCGTAAAGACATTAAATGTTTTAAAACCAGTGTTAAATATTGAATAGAATTCAAATAAAATTATAATGCATTGTAATGTAAAGTAATTAACATTTCTTATTATTATATGGTGGTTGCAACTGAACTGGATACATGTTCAAACGCAACAAACATTTAACAAAATCAGTTATAAACTATGATAAACGATAACAACCAATAATTAGTGACATTTAATGAACATTATTAATTATCCAACCATGAACTGATTGCCATTAAAAGCAATAAAA